AGGAGCGTTTTAAGTGGAAGTGAATTAATTTAAGTGTTCTGGGCATTGTAGCACATGTTCCTTTGCACCAATATTTGTGGAATGTTTTCATTTTCATTTTTCTGTGCTTGAAGCCAACCTCGAATCAGGAGACATTTTTATTAACTGGGAATAAACCAAAAGGAAGACCCTACAGGCATAGTCTTTTAAATCTGGAACAGAATGCGTACCTCCTCTATTCAGATTATGTAAATCCTGATTTTGTTACAATTTGCCCCCACTGAGAAATAAAGTAAAATATAATTGCCTCTTTCCCCCTTGTCCCTTAAATACTAAGATGACATTCAATTAGTTTGCTAAACAAGGTGCCGCACTGCCTGCATATATTAAACAGTTCCTAATCTTTCACTTCATATAACAATTTTTGCCTGGCATAATTAAGACTTTGGTATTCTCTTGGGCAACTAATGAATCTTTCCCTACATTTCCCTTTTTGTGCTATGATTTAAGTAATGTACAATTGTATTTCTATCACACAGACTCTAGGGATGCATTATTAAAAGTCATCAGATTTCTCTTGGGACTGTACTAGAAGTCTCACAATTGATCTTTCTCTGTTACACGTATCACTTAAAGAGCAAAGCTGTCATTAATCACAATATTTTTGTTGATGCAAGCCCAGTTCAAAGTTCTACACTGCATATAAGTTTCCTATTTTTGTATTAAATTGTGAGCACTAACACAATGCAGGGCAAAAAATGTCCACATGAAAATATAGCATTCGTTGCTACATACTTTATTCACATCCAGCTATACTTTCTTAACTGGGTGGGGAACTGCATGTTAGGTTTCCATTTCCAATCCAAAGGCTATTCCACTCTTAAGGGGTCTTTTAAAAAAATAATATTTTTATTAGGTTTTTGATAATTTTATACATATAAAACATAACCTTTTCAAATATTTAAATACAAGGTTCTTTTGAACCTTCGGACCTCCTTCCCTCCCTCCATGGATTCCATATTTAAAATTAAGTTTGCCTCATCTTTTACCTTTATCTATTAATTAGGGGATGCGGGTGGTGCTATGTTCTAAACCACTGAGCCTAGGGCTTGCTGATCAGAAGGTCGCGGTTCGAATCCCCGCGACAGGGTGAGCTCCTGTTGCTCGGTCCCAGCTCCTGCCCACCGAGCAGTTTGAAAGCACGTCAAAGTGCAAGTAGATAAATATGTACCACTCCGGTGGGAAGATAAATGGTGTTTCCGTGCACTGCTCTGGTTTCGCCAGAAGCGGCTTAGTCATGCTGGCCACATGAGCCGGAAGCTGTCCGTGGACAAATGCCTGCTCCCTCGGCCTATAGAGCAAGATGAACGTTGCAACCCCAGAGTCGTCCGCGACTGGACCTAATGGTCAGGGGTACCTTTACCTTTTTATCTATTAATTAACCATAATTATCATAAATAATTCCACATTACAAGTGTCCTTACATCCCTGCCAAAGATTTTAACTGTTTACAGTGGTCTTTTAAGTAAATTACAATTTTACTCCTGTCTTTAGTAAATATTTGATCTTCCTGGTTTCTGATCTTCCCTGTCATTCTTGCCATCTCCTCATACTCCATCAGTTTCAGCTGCCATTCTTCTTTCTCTCTGGGGGTTCCCCCCGCAAAGCTACAATGGGAAGCAAGGCTTTTGATTCAGTATACCCACTGCCCCTTCTCTACTATTCAATCTTTTTGCCATCTACATCTATCTCTTCCGTCCTGGCTTCTACCTGCTGAGCCTCTCACCATTAGGCAAGCCAGCCCCAGCAGCTGAGTGCAGCTGTAGTCTTGTGACCTCTGCACCTGTGGTCACTCTGCATCTCCTAGCTGCAGCACCAGCTACAAAGCAGAGACAGGGCCACAATTGTTAAAACAATTGTTTTAACTGTGTTGTTGCTTTTAAAAAAACCTTTTAACTGTTTTTCATTTGTGTGGGGTTTGATGGTGGTGGTAGTGTTCATTATTCTTGAGGAAGGGAAGATGTGCCTGGGAGGATATGTGTCCATTATATTTATTTGGTAGTTGTGACTTTTTATTCACGCTGATATATTTTAATGACGGACGATTAAGAAATATTTTAAACAAAGCAAACAAATATATTTGCATGGTAACCTCTTAACAAATGCTTTGCAGAGCTTCGTTCGTCATTCTGTAAATCAGCTTCTGCTGTGCAGGAGTTTAAATATACCTAAAATCATGTTTCATGTAGCATAGACTTTTGAGACAGTGTTACATGTTTCAAGAGGCTTAAATCTGTTAGTCCACCAGGATGGCTAACCTGTAGCCTTCCAGATGTTGCTTGAACTACAGCACATATCATCTCTGACTACTGGGCCTTGCTGGGTCTGATGGGAGTTGTAATTCAGAAACATCTGGTTTGCCACAGGTTAACTGGTATGTCCTCATGTGTTTGGAAAAGGTACAAATTGTACACATCCTTTGTATTTTGAAACAAATGAGCTCTAAAGGCTCCTAGTTCTAAGGTAAATTGGACCCTTAAAACACATTCAGCAAATGCCTGCATCCCTTTTCCATAAAGGGACAGGCTAAGCAAAGAGGATTTGCTTGTCTCTGTCATTTTTTTGTAACAAACAGTAGCATTTTACAGACCTTAATATTTTAAGCTTCCTTTTGCTGCCCTCAAAACTGCATATTCAGGTTGCCAAGAAGCATCTGGAGCTATAAAAATGGATTTATTTCAACAAAAATGAATAATTTACTTCGCTGAAATCTTTTGGCTGAGCCTTATTTCTGCTTTTAACTATAATTTGTTTGTCTTTTACAAATATGATGCTGCAGGAGGAAATTCTGCTGCATACTCAGCTATATTTGCATGTTTAGAAGCTACTGTGTAGTAGATATTGGAAATTTAAAATCCACTGTTCAGCTATGTGTGTGAATTCGTATAAAGGGGAAACACATTAAAGTTCATCACACTCTTGTGTTTGAAACCCTTATTATAAAGCTTGAAGTATCTTATTGCCTAAATTTTTAACCAACTGACCACAGCTGTTAGTATCAGCTATAGACAGATGCATTATTGCAAACTGAAAGTTCTATATAAATCATCATTGCATATATTTATGGTGATGCATTATAATAATGCTTGACATTCAGGGATCAGCAGTGGAATTTCTGGCAGCACGGTCTAAGATAACTTTCAGAGAGCAGCTAATTTTAGTAGACAATCTACAACGATCTAGTTGTTCTGAGAGGATCATATGAAATCTAGCCCATGGTGTCCTGAATTTCCTTTCCCTCTTAATTGACGTACTCTCATATAGAAGACAGCACATCAGATATCGTTGAACATATGGTAGTAGAACAAGGACAGGTATATCTGAATGAAGCTCCCTTTCATGCCCCATTTCAGTCAGGGAGTTTGATCTGTTTACATGAATGTGATAATATTGTTGTTGTTTAGTCGTTTAGTCGTGTCCAACTCTTCGTGACCCCATGGACCAGAGCATGCCAGGCACTCCTGTCTTCCACTGCCTCCCGCAGTTTGGTCAAACCCATGTTCGTAGCTTCAAGAACACTGTCCAACCATCCCGTCCTCTGTCGTCCCCTTCTCCTTGTGCCCTCCATCTTTCCCAACATCAGGGTCTTTTCCAGGGAGTCTTCTCTTCTCATGAGGTGGCCAAAGTATTGGAGCCTCAATATTAGGAGCCCTTTATTTATGAACTTCTTCTGCAAACTGAGGGGAGTTCATTTGATGTTGCTCACTGGCAAAATGCTTACCAGTTATGAAAAATGCTGCCTCTCGAGGTCCCACTGACAATAATGTCAATTTTTAGATGCCAGCTGTAGACTTTTTCCTTTTCATCGGGCTTTCTGATTGACCTGAGTAACTATCCAGTCCTATTAACAGACAGTTGAGTTTTAATGAACCCCTGCTTTGTTTTTTTCATGATTGGTTTAAGTTTTCATATTGTAATACACGTCAAGGTCATGTGGCAAAGGGGAACACCCAGCAAAGGGTGACACCCAGCTGTAGCTTCCAAGGTCACCTGTCTTTGTTTCAAATTACTGCCTGGTCTGGATAGCACTGTCTTTCCAGTTAAGAAGAGAGACAGTAGCCTCAGGCAGCAGCGGAGTCTTTTCTTCCCATAGGGCTTTTCTCCCTAAGCCCTTGACTATTCTTGGGAGTTCAGAGCTACATGTACCTACCTCTTAACTAGCCTGATGCCTTAATACACTGGAGGCAAAGTCTAGATTCTATCCTGTTTCCAGTGGTGATGCTAGAGAAAGGTTGGAGCTCAAGGATAGTCAAGACTAGTCATGCGACAGCTAGACTGGTGACTGGGGGCGGCCGCCGAGACCACATAACACCGGTCTTGAAAGACCTACATTGGCTCCCAGTACGTTTCCGAGCACAATTCAGAGTGTTGGCGTTGACATTTAAAGCTCTAAACGGCCTCGGCCCAGTATACCTGAAGGAGCGTCTCCACCCCCATCATTCTGCCCGGACGCTGAGGTCCAGCGCCGAGGGCCTTCTGGCGGTTCCCTCATTGCGAGAAGCAAAGCTACAGGGAACCAGGCAGAGGGCCTTCTCGGTAGTGGCACCTGCCCTGTGAAATGCCCTCCCATCAGATGTCAAAGAGATAAACAACTACCTGACATTCAGAAGACATCTTAAGGCAGCCCTGTTCAGGGAAGTTTTTAATGTGTGACATCTTAGTGTATTTTTGGTCTTTGTGGAAGCCACCCAGAGTGGCTGGGGAAACCCAGCCAGATGGGTGGGGTACAAATAATAAATTATTATTATTATTATTATTATTATTATTATTATTATTGATAGAGCATCTGCTTTGCATGTAGAAGACCCCAGGTTCAATCCCTAGCATCTCCAGCTAGGACTGAGGAAGATGCTTTATGAACTAAGTTAAATGGTTATATCCCATTAAATTAACTCAGTTTTCTTCTCTCTCTATATATATAACTCCATGTCCTCTAATTGGTTTCCAATTCTGCTGTGCAGGGGAAGCCTACATGAGGCTCAGCAGATTACCTGAAGCAGAACACTGGTATGTGGAATCACTGCGGGCCAAAACAGACCACATCCCAGCTCATCTCACATATGGGAAACTCCTGGCTTTAACGGTAAGTTGTTATTATTTATTATATTTCTATACCACCCTTCATCAGAATCACAGGGTGATTTACAATATAAAAGAACACACAAATACATAACTTTCAGGAAAGAATATGTTCATTTTGGCTAAAATTCTAGTGTTTGTTTCTAAAGAACAGACAAAAGCAAATATTGACGTTATCTTAATAGCCAGACTTCTCAAAGTTTGCCTTTAATTCAGCATTTATTTATTTATTTATTTAAAAAACCCTAATAGGCTCCCTCTTCCCAACTCTGCTCTCTTCCCAACTCATTCCTCAATTTCCCAACCATCACTGAATCTGGAGAGAGAGGACACAGTGTGCCCTGTGCCCCAAAGCTAAACATGACCGGTGAGCCCTGAATAGGAAGAACTGTTCCCCCAGACCACAAGACATGAAGATGAGCTCCTCCACAACAGACAAACTTTGTTGTTCATCCTCTGTTCCCTCTCCTCAACCCAGCTCGTAGTGACGCCGGGGTATTATAAACCTATTGCCTTCTGTTCTAAACCATGGGGCTCCTTCCAGCAGGAGGTGGTGTTCCCATCCCTGTGGAAGTCACTGCTGCTGATGGCTAGATGGTCCATTGTCAGGCATGGTGGGACTGCAGCTTATTGCCAGATGAGGCATTTGGCTTTTCCCCATGTACATGAATGAGAACATGGACATGAATGAGACAATTCTACCAGAGACACCACTTCAGTTGAGGCTAAATCCTGTTTGCATCCCTGGTGATATCAGCGTTTGAAATGAATTGGGAAAACTGTGGCTTGGAGCAGGTCATCACTACAGGTTTTCAGCTATAGATGAGAGAGAGCTTTGACCAAACCCTCAGAGGTAGGCTGGCCATCGGTTGAAACAAGGATACATGTGACATTATTGAGATTTCATAGTTGTGTGTACATGATTAGTAAAACAGACATATCTTGCTGTCTCAAATGCATAATTTGCCTGAAGTATTATGGGATCACCTAGGTAAAACACAAAAAACAAACTAAGCGACAGGATATATGAAAGTCCAAGGGGGTTGGGGGGGGGAGATATGAGGCTGTTGAGACAATTTAAAGCCTATCAACGGTTTTGTCTCTTTTAAAAGGACCGTCATAGTTTTAGATACCTTGAGGATTTAACATTCTTCACCTTGCAGAATGCTTTTCTCACGCTCTGCTTACAGGTTATGCCTTCTGCCATGTTGAATGGCAGATAGAAACAAGCTCCTGTCTCCCAGTGGAATTGTATTTGTAACCTGAATCAAGCCAGACAATGTAATCAATTCTGTTCTATAATGTCCCTTATATGATGGGCCAAGGGAAAATGGGGCGGGGGGATTTTGGCTAGATTAACATCCTGTTCTGACCGAGAAATCATCTGTTTTCTATTAGAAAAATTACATCCTTTGTGACATGTAGAACAGCACTGTATGTTTTAACTGCAAGGAAACTTCAAGTGAAAGAAGAGTTAAAGGATTAGGACAACTAAGGAGTTCTAAGAAGATAATAGATATTTTTTTAGATAATGGATGTTTTTAGTTTAACTTAACTGAGAATTTTATTGTATCGGGTTTTTTAAAAAGTTTATTTTTTTTGAAATTTTACCTGAAAACTCTCAAGGCCAATGGCTAATACAATAAAGCTGATGGTGACTTTAGTTTCCATACTTCCTGCAATTGTTAGAGTTTTAAGGCATATGTTCTTGTGTGAGTTTAGCATATAATATGGTGGCATATAAAATGTTTGTGTTCATAGAAATTAATGAAGTGCACTAAAGTTATGGTGCTCAAAGAAGCATGAATTAGTGCAGAAGACAAATAATGTGACTTCGTCATTCATTTGAAACTCATTATTCATGCCCATGTCAGTATGTAGATAAAGCTATGCCAGTTTTGCATAGCACTGCTCTAGATTTTCTGCTTAACCTTGTTTATGTTATCACATTTTAAGCAAAAATTTTATCTGTGTTATATTATGTTTCCTATGCTAATTTGATAGATTAGTAAAAGCTTAGTAGGAGATAGTATTTTATGTACCTCAACTATTTTATGAAAAGCGTTTTATATCTTAGTTTGGGTGGCACAGAATGGGAACATGGAACACTTTTTACAATGTAAATCACACCCAAATCTATATTTGTAACAGAATGGCTAGTGAAATTATGATCTCCCTGCCTACAGTCAACTGGAAGAATTTTTTTCACAACCCACATATCAAGTAATATTATAAATTCATATGTTAAAATTATAACTCACCAGGGTGTATTTTACCAGAAAGCATAAGAGGAGGAAAATTTAGTGGTTAAGGCATATGAGTAGTGGCTCAGCTAGTTGAATAACTGGAAGGCGGCCAACTCTGAGCTAAAGCCCCTGTTTTCATTTTATTTATTTTTCCAGAAACGCTATTTAGCTTTTTGAAGGTACATAGCACCATGATGGTGCTGTTATAAACTCCCCAATATCTCATTGTCGAAATGAGTTGCTTATGGGAAGACACTGTTGAAGCTAACTTCCTTGTTCTAGAGCTGGTTGACTGGTATTGCCAGAGTGCTGAAGTCCTTCCCTGATTGTAATCATTTACAATATATGTATTTTCTGAATATAAACATGTTTATTTTAGAAAAAAACTCTAACATTACAGCATTCCTGTAATATATGTAATTGTGCTTCTGACAAAAATAACAGTGAAAGGGGCAGTCTTGAGTATTTAGAATAGTTAATTATCATTTGAACAAGACCTGAAGGTACAAAAAAAGTGTCAGCAATCTAATGTGAAGGCAATTTTTTGAACAAAAAATGGAGGTTGAGGTTTTCATAATGTTGGCCAGGCTTCTGACTTCAGCTTGAGAGGCATTTTATCTGTACTGGTGTGTCTGCTGTGACATTTATCACATAATGCAGGGTTTGAGTTCTCAAATGTACTTATCCCAGATTGTATCTCTCTCTCCTCACTGTACTGCAGTCTTGCTTGAATGCAGTTTTAATCTAACTAGCATATTCACAGCCTGCAGGCAGCAGGCGGTTATAGTTGGTACAGTTGATCTTCTCTGATGTCATAGAGGGCCTTGGCAGGAGAGCTGTCATTGGCTTAGCTGCTGTGATGCCACAGAGTAGAAATCTTGGCCAAAGTAGCTGTGTGATCAGGTGGGCTTGGAGACTTTTGCCCTTGGGACTATGAAGTCAGTAGGCAGCTATTAACAGGAATCATGCTGCATTTACCCCTGTATTGCCTGCGTGCCCATGGGCCTTGGGATAACATGTTGTTGCTACATATTGGTTGAGTAGTTTCAGGGTTTATGAACGGAAAGCCAATTTCCACAAATGCTTCCTGCTTATGCCAGGATGCAGTCTGACCTATTTTCCTTTGCATAAGGACAAGCATGAAGGAAGCCTCCCAGCCTGTTCACAGGTCCTTATATGATCAGTGAAAACAAGTTGGTCCTGGCAAGTACCGTATTTTTCGGACTATTGGACGCACCGGTCCATAGGACGCACCTAGATTTGGGGGGGGGGGGGAAATAAAGGCAAAAAAAAATTATTCCCCCCGCCAGGCGCGGGGCTGGGGCGGGGAAGCCCGAGCTTCCCCCTCCCCCAGAACGGGACCCAGAGCCATGCCGAAGCTGCGCGCAGCTTTGGCATCGCTCTGGGAGCTTGCGGGGCTGGGGGAGGAGAAAGCCTTCCGCCAGCCTCCAAACCATGTCGGGAGACAGCGGGATGGCGCGCTGCGCCTCTCCCGCTGTCCCCCGAGTTTGCGGGGCTGGGCCAGCCTTCTAACCAAGTCGGGGGACAGCGGGAAGGGCGCGCTGCGCCCCTGCCGCTGTCTCCCGAGTTTGCGGGGCTGGCGACGGGGAGGAGCAGGCTTCTCCCCCCGCCAGCCTTCTAGACAAGTCGGGGGACAGCGGCAAAGGCGCGCTGCGCCTCTCCCGCTGTCCCCCGAGTTTGCGGGGCTGGCGATGGGGAGGAGCAGGCTTCTCCCCCCGCCAGCCTTCCAGCCAAGTCGGGGGACAGCGGGAAGGGCGCGCTGCGCCTCTCCCGCTGTCCCCCGAGCTTGTGGGGCTGGCGGTGGGGCTCTCCTGAAGCCTGGAGGTTGTGGGGCTGGTGGGGGGGAGAAGCAGGCTTGCTTCTCCCACCCCCAGCCTCCAGATCAGGTCGGGGAATAGCGGGATGGCGGAGCGCCGCCATCCCGCTATTCCACGACCTGATCTGGAGGTTGTGGGGCTGGGGGGGGGAGAAGCAGGCTTGCTTCTCCCACCCCCAGCCTCCAGATCAGGTCGGGGAATAGCGGGGTGGCGGAGCGCCGCCATCCCGCTATTCCACAACCTGATCTGGAGGTTGTGGGGCTGGGGGGGGGGGAAGCAGGCTTGCTTCTCCCACCCCCAGCCTCCAGATCAGGTCGGGGAATAGCGGGATGGCGGAGCGCCGCCATCCCGCTATTCCCCGACCTGATCTGGAGGTTGTGGGGCTGGGGGGGGGAGAAGCAGGCTTGCTTCTCCCACCCCCAGCCTCCAGATCAGGTCGGGGAATAGTGGGATGGCGGAGCGCCGCCATCCCGCTATTTCCCAACCTGATCTGGAGGTTGTGGGGCTGGGGGGGGGAGAAGCAGGCTTGCTTCTCCCACCCCCAGCCTCCAGATCAGGTCGGGGAATAGCGGGATGGCGGAGCGCCGCCATCCCGCTATTCCCCGACCTGATCTGGAGGTTGTGGGGCTGGGGGGGGGAGAAGCAGGCTTGCTTCTCCCACCCCCAGCCTCCAGATCAGGTCGGGGAATAGCGGGATGGCGGAGCGCCCCCATCCCGCTATTCCCCGACCTGATCTGGAGGTTGTGGGGATGGTGGGGGGGAGAAGCAGGCTTGCTTCTCCCACCCCCAGCCTCCAGATCAGGTCGGGGAATAGCGGGATGGCGGCGCTTCGCCATCCCCCTATCCCCCGAGCTTGTGGGGCTGGGGGGGGGAGAAGCAGGCTTGCTTCTCCCCCCGCCAGCCTCCAGATCAGGTCGGGGAATAGCGGGGTGGCGGCTCTGCGCCTCCCCGCTGTCCCCAGCTTTTGGGTGCAGGCTGCTGCCCGCAAGCCTTGCGAGCCCGCGGGACATCCCACCGGGCTTGCAAGACTTGGGATAGCTTCCTGAAGCCTGGAGAGCGAGAGGGGTCGGTGCGCACGGACCCCTCTCGCTCTCCAGGCTTCAGCAAAAGCCTGCATTCGCACCATAGGACGCACACACATTTCCCCTTCATTTTTGGAGGGGAAAAAGTGCGTCCTATAGTGCGAAAAATACGGTATTAACCGCTCTCAATCTTAACCTAGCTCTTAAAAGCCACCACCACATTGAATCTACAGTCAAACTTGAATGATACTAGATCAGTGTTTCCCAACCGGTGTTCCGCGGCACACTAGTGTGCCGTGAGACGTTGCCTAGTGTGCCGTGGGAGGGAGGCGGGCGAGTCGGGCGGCGAGAGGCGGGGCGCCGGCGGCGAGCACACGCGGGGCGGCGAGCGAGCTCCCTCCCACATCCCATCGCCGCGAATGCAGGCTTTCGCTGAAGCCTGGAGAGCGAGAGGGGTCGGTGCGCACCGACCCCTCTTGCTCTCCAGGCTTAAGGAAGCTATCCCCCCAGCCGCGCAAGCTCCCAGAGCGATGCCAAAGCTGCGCGCACCTTTGCCATCGCTCTCCAACCCGTTCGGGAGGCTGGGGTCGGGGAAGCTCCAGCTTCCCCCGCCCGCAGCCTCCCAAGCCCCGAGAGCGATGGCGAACGTGCGCACACCATCGCCATCGCTCTCTGACCTGTTCGGGGGGCTGGGGAGGGGGGAAGCTCCGGCTTCCCCCGCCCCCACCCCGCGCAAGGTCCCAGAGCGATGGCGAAGGTGCGCACACCTTCGCCATCGCTCTCCGACCTGCTCTGCGGGCTGGGGACGGGAGAAGCTCCGGCTTCCCCCGCCCCCAGCCCGCGCAAGGTCCCAGAGCGATGGCGAAGATGCGCACACCTTCGCCATCGCTCTCCGACCTGCTCTGCGGGCTGGGGACGGGAGAAGCTCCGGCTTCCCCCGCCCCCAGCCCGCGCAAGGTCCCAGAGCGATGGCGAAGATGCGCACACCTTCGCCATCGCTCTCCGACCTGCTCTGCGGGCTGGGGACGGGAGAAGCTCCGGCTTCCCCCGCCCCCAGCCCGCGCAAGGTCCCAGAGCGATGGCGAAGGTGCGCACACCTTCGCCATCGCTCTCTGACCTGCTCTGCGGGCTGGGGACGGGAGAAGCTCCGGCTTCCCCCGCCCCCAGCCCGCGCAAGGTCCCAGAGCGATGCCGAAGGTGCACACACCTTCGCCATCGCTCTCTGACCTGCTCTGGCGGCTGGGGGCGGGGGAAGCTCCGGCTTCCCCCGCCCCCAGCTCCTGCAAGCTCCGGGAGCAATGGCAAAGGTGCGCTCACCTTCGCCATCGCTCTCGGACCCTTTCTGGGGGCTGGGGGCGGGGGAAGCTCTGGCTTCCACCACCCCCAGCTCCTGCAAGCTCCGGGAGCAATGGCAAAGGTGCGCTCACCTTCGCCATCGCTCTCGGACCCTTTCTGGGGACTGGGGGTGGGGGAAGCTCTGGCTTCCCCCACCTCCAGCCCCGCAAGCTCTGGGAGTGATGGCGAAGGTGCGCTCACCTTTGCCATCGCTCTCGGACCCTTTCTGGGGGCTGGAGGCGGGGGAAGCTCGGGCTTCCCCCACCCCCAGTCCCGCAAGCTCCGGGAGCCACTCTGGCTCCCATTCTGGGGGCTGGGGTCGGGGGAAGCTCGGGCTTCTCCCGCCCAGCCCCGCGTCTGGGGGGGGGGAAATAATTTTTTCCCCTTTATTTCCCCCCCAAAATCTAGGTACGTCCTATGGGCCGGTGCGTCCTATAGGGCGAAAAATAGGGTAGTCAATATAGGCACAGAGTTAATTTTTTAAACATTTTCTAATGGTGGTGTGCCTTGAGATTTTTTTCATGAAACAAGTGTGCCTTTGCCCAAAAAAGGTTGGGAAACACTGTACTAGATCATGGGTGACTATGGAAAGGTAGTAGTAGTTCAGAGTAAAGTTAGCTAAGTGTGCGGTCTTGGTGAACACAGTTTCATGTGTACACGCCATTATTTCATGCCTCTCTCCTTGTCTCCATATGTCCTTCTGCGTAACTTTTCAGTCATTTTGCCAACATGCTTCGCTGAGTATTTTTATCCCAAAACTTGAAACATTAGCATGACTGTAGCAAATGAAAGCAGTTCCAAAATGTAGTTACTTTTGTAAACTGGCATCTGTCAACTTTGCTTCCTTTTGAATTTGGCCACATGCCAAAAAATTACATTTTCATTTATATTTGCATTGACTTTGCCGTCCAATTACAGCAGATTTGTCTACTTGCCAAAATTTTGTAACTCTAATTATGAAACAGAAGGCACTTTACATTTTAAAATAAATACTTAATAGCATCCAGTGGTGACACTATGTTTTTCATTTCTTGATGGTGAGAGGGAAGGTTGTAATTGGCACTTTTCAGTCTCATCCCTTTTAACCTTCCTACTGGCTTTATTTAGAGGTCTTACACATATTCACCCACCTTCAAACTAAGGATCACAGCAGCCTTGTAGACAGATGATTTTAGTAGTGGACACCAGGTAGCGCTTCATAGGCATCTAAGAATTTCACCTCCAGATCCGACAGTTCACCTGCTCAGGTGAGATAATTCAATCAGTGAGTTCCCCTCAATAAATGTTTTGGAGCCACTGGACCTATCTGGAGATATAATTATTGCAAAGCTTCATAGTAGTTGTAATAGTAATAATAATTTATTATTTATACCCAGTCCATCTGGCTGGGTTTCCCCAGCCACTGAAGTGTGCTGCATCATGGACTTAAGCTGCCACAGTTAAGTTTCTGTCTGTTCATACACACCTTGTTTAACTGAAAGGAGGGAGTCTTAATACACTTTTTTTTGTGGGAAACGTAGAAAATGAATTAGATTAAGAGAGTAAACTAATTGTTACCTGGCAGTGAATATGATTCTCTACAAGTGCATTATTCAGAACTGCTTGACTGCATTAATCTCCCTCCTATTAGCTTCTTAGAATTTTAAATTCTCCAGTAGCTTAGAGTGTGCCAGCTGCCTTACCTGGTTGCAGAACATTCTACCAGCTGTCAGAAGATACCAGTATTAATGGGGAAACCAAAACGTCCAGTAATAGAGAGAGATGTTGATGCAGATTTCTTCCTTCCTTGCATGCAAATTTTATAGCTTCTTAATCAAAGAATAATGTCAGTCTATTTGAATAAAATGTCACATTTTATTGAATAATTGGATTTCCTTCCTTTCAATTATTCCCTGGGTTCTATTATTTCAAAAATGTTTTCAATCAGAATCCTCAGTGGTATATATCTAGCATTGCTTACTGGATTAGCCTAAGGCCACTAGGATATTGTTATGCTCTCACCAGCCACC